TTCCTTCGAAGTTGGAAAGGCATCTGCCTGAGTGGCAGGAGCCAAGAGTTCGCATACAAATGAGCCTGCGATCTCCTGCAACATGTATCAGTTTGCGTGCCGACACACCTTCATGCCATGCAACAAGACTGTCAAGCATCTTCTCTCGTTGTCTTCCTCTATCTCTCCTTCCACAGATCTTTTCAGTGGTCACAACATGTTCTATTTTCCCTCTTCTCATAACATGGCCATAAAATTATGACTGTCTCCTTCTGATGTCTGTGATAAGTTGTCTTCGGGCTCCCGCCTCTTTCAAAACCTCTTGGTTGCTCTTTTTGGCTGTCCAAGATATTCTAAGCATTTTTCTGTAAAACCACATCTCTGAGGCCTCTAGAAATTGTTTGGCCTGCCTACAGATATATATATATATATATATATATATATATATATATATATATATATATATATATATAAAACGTTGATAAGACCAGTCGTTTTATATGGCTCTGAAGCTTGGAGCACAGCTGAAAGAGATTAAACCTTATTACAGGTTTTCGAAAACAGAGTCTTACGATGAATGTTTAGACCCATCAAAGATGCAAACAGCGGTGAATGGAGAGTGAGAAACAACAACAAAATACATAATCTGTTTAAATCACCACTGATCACTGGCATCATGAGAGCTAATAGACTGAAATGGTTGAGGCATATTGAAAGAATGGAGAGATAATATCCAGACAGACCTGCAAACACATGGTGTCACCAACTGGAAAGAGAAGGCCAACCAGAGAGATGAATGGAGACGGGTGATATCTGCAGCAATGAACCTCAAGGGCTCAGAATGCTGAAGAAGAAGAAGAAGAAGAAGAAGAAGAAGAAGAAGAAGAAGAGGCTGCCGCTGCTTCTTAATAGTTGGCCCTAGATACCACTGTTGAAACTAACACAGGGAGATCTGCTACAAAATCATCAGCAGCTGGGATCGAACCCGGCACTACAATGCCTGAAGCCATAGGTGCCTTAACAAGCATATCGTAAAAGATGACTAATTAAGGTTTGCTGATACTGATGTGCTTGGCCGAAAGACACAGATATCGCAGCCTAGCAGTAAACCACAACACCACTGTCCTTTTAGGGGGAATGCAGAAGATGATTTATCAAATAAGAGCGATAGAAAAAATACAGGTCGTGTGTTCATGCTTAGTACATTATATATCACTTGACAGTTGGAAATAGAAAAGGTCGACAACTATTATATGCCATAATTGTAAGTATGCAAACATCTGCAGCGAAGAGGTAAAGCCTCACACTCTAAAGGTCGTCAGTTCACAAGTGTAATTCTTACAGACACCACTGGGGATCATCTCTGGAGCTACAGTATTCATGCTTTGTGGAACTGGAGTTGACCATTTCAAAGCTGAAAATGCGGAAGTCTCAGGAGCAGATGGTATATCAAACGAAATGATCAGAAACTTAGGAAAAGTAGCCAAAACAAAGCTTTTACAGATATTTAATGCTTGCTGGGCAACAGGGAATGTTCCACAGATCTGGAGAGAGGCAATTATGATACCCCTCATAAAGCCTAGGAAAGACAGTTCTAATGCCTCCAACTACAGACCAATCAGCCTCACAAGTTGTCTCTGTAAAACAATGGAGCGCATCACCAACCTCAGACTACAGTGGTACATTGAAAGTGAAAACATCATTACACCACAGCAGGCGGGCTTTAGAAAGTTCTATTCTACGAAAGACCAGACAACATACCTCTCCCAAGAAATAGAGGATGCTTTTCAAGATAAGAAACTGGTACTTGCGGCATGGATAGATTTAAGGAAAGCTTTTGATAAGGTTTGGAAGGAGGGGCTTTTGAAGAAACTGAGAAACTATAAAATAAATGGAAAAATGTACAATTGGATTAAAGCATATCTACATAACAGAAGAGCCCGGGTACAGGTAGATGGTTTTAAAAGTAAAAAAGTTCTACTGCGACAAGGTGTCCCTCAAGGTGGTGTCCTGTCGCCCACACTTTTCCTTTTATTTATCAATGATCTGGTTGCTGAGATACCAAATGGAATCAAAATGGCGACGCGACCTGGTACTGTGGTGCACCAATGAACATGCAACGATAGCCACAAAAACACTACAGAGGGCTACAAATGCACTTGAGGCATGGGCGTTTAGATGGTGTGTCAGCATCAACACAGACAAATGTAGCACCACACTATTCACCCTCTCCCCAAAGCAAAAAGCCGGCACCATCAAAATAAACGAAATACCCCTGAGAGTTGATAAAGAGCCCACATACCTAGGAGTCACATTTGATGACAGGTTGACATGGAGAAAACATATCAACAAGGCAGCAACCAAAGCCAGGAGGAAGACAGCAATACTACGAAAACTAAGTGGAACCACATGGGGAGCAGATGGGAAAATACTCAATAAAGTATACAAGCAGAGCATACTTCCACACTTGGAATATGGGTCAACTGCATGGTGTTCAGCATCTAGTACCACATTAAAGGAGTTGGACAAAGTGCAAAATCAAGCGCTCAGAGTCATCACAGGAGGGATGAAATCAACCCCCATATTAGAAATGGAGAAAGCTGGTAAAACACAGGCACTGAGAGAACGCAGAGATACAAAGTTGCAAATACAAGCTGAAAAGTTCCTCAGTATGCCAGATCACCCGATGGAAAATAGATTTAAGAACCTAGCCTTGGGACGGTTAAAAAGAAGCAGCTTTATACACCAAGCAAAAAGAATATGTAGACAAACTCCTGACCTTCCAGAAATTGGTTGCCCACTTAAAAGTATTCCGGAACAAACCACATGGAGAGAAAAATGTAAACTAACGGTACAAATCCAGACAAATGTGAAAGGGATATTTGACAAGAAAGAGCAAGATAGTGTACAACGCAAAATGGCCACCCTCAGTTATATTGATGAAGAATACCCACAAGAACAATGGGTCAGAGTCTATACAGATGGGTCCGCAGAAAGTGCAGTTAGAAATGGTGGTGCTGGAGTGTACATCGAATTCCCAGATGGTACTAGGGATAAGTCCAGCGTACCAACCGGGAAGTACTGCCATAACTACGATGCAGAAACCCAGGCTATTAAGATAGCTACAGAGAAACTGCTAAATACCAACCTTGGCTCACAGTATGTGGTAATGCTTACAGATGCTAAATCAGTACTTGAAGCACTCCAGTCTAGGAAACTACCAGAATTGCAAACACTGCTGACACAACTCAGCCTTCAGCGAAGAGTCGTAATGCAGTGGATACCGTCTCATTGTGGAGTGCCTGGAAATGAGAAAGCTAATCAACTGGCAGGGGAAGGTGCGACAGAAGAGCAGCCAGCTGTACCAGTCACATACCACCAAAAGAAAAGAATCATTAAATCGATCAGGAAACCACCAGCCCCAGCACAAGACGACTATTTTATTATGGACAGACCAGAACAAGTTATTATCTTCCGCCTCAGAACAGGGCACAACCGATTACGTAACCACATGTACACAAAATTCAAGATAGGTGTATCAGCCATGTGCACCTGTGGAAATGTGCCCCAGACCGCAGGACTGCATCGATTTTGACACATTAAGGCAAACCTTTTGGCCAGAAAGAACAACAGTGGAACGTAAACTCTATGGACCACTGAATGAACTAACAACGACAGTGAAATTTATACAAGAGACAAAACTGCTGATATAGATAACTTATTTCAGGCGAACGAAAGAAGAAGAAGAAGAATCATATTTCTGAATATATGAGTTAACCATGCAACCCAACCACATGGTTCCCAGTGGTTAGTACAAGTGTCTGTTACAAGAGTGGTCTGGGTTCGAGACTCAGAAGATTCCGAGTTACTGAAGCATGATCTGTCATGTCACTGGTCATTATATAATTACCGATCTTGTAACTGGTTCATAAATCAAGATCTACTTGTTATTGGTTCTTATAAAAGGATCTACTGATTGATTGGCACCTCTCCGTCTTTCCTGGCGAAGTGTTATAGTGCATTATGAGAAGGCATGAGACTCGCAGCCCATGGCGATGGCAAGTGTAACTAGCAAGACCCGCCCATGTCAAGAAAAGTCCTCCACAATCATAGCATAAGATTTCATGGACCGTTGTTAATATCTGTGTTTAGTCTGTTTCTTCTCAGACGCTCAGCTCTCATCCTTTCTGCAATCATTTCTTCCTACATTCTTATTCCTTTCCTGATGTGTCCCCTCCACACAATATGGTCCATGGCATTTTGTTCCCACGAGTTCACCTCCATACTGTATCATTCATGTCCTGCTTGATCATCTTTATATTATAGTAGAGATCAACTTCAACTTCTTCTACCCGCATTTAATTCACTATAGAGGATGTCCTCAGGAACTCTGCCATCCTCCATTCTCTAGGTGTGACCCAGCCACCTGAGCCTTCGTGCACTGAGCAATGAGAAGACTGTTGTAATAATTACTCTTTTCAACACTTCAGAGTCTGCGATCATGTCTTGCCACTTATTTTTTTAGGCATCTCATGTGAAAACTTTAGCCATTTTTCCTGGTGTAAATAAGCTGACCAAGTTTCACCAAGGATCTATACTGCTATTAGTTAATGATCAAGAACATTCACTGTTCCTTACATAATGACCTACCATGTTACTGATTAACAAAAAAAGATCTATGTGTCACTGGTCTTAATATATGGATCTCTACTGCTATTGGCTAATCATCAAGAACTGTTATTGGTCCTAGTATAAGGATCTCTACTGCTACTGGCTAATCATCAAGAGCTGTCATTGGTCCTTATATAATGACCTATTTTGCTAGTGATGAATTAATCAAGATCTAACATTATCACTGGTTAGTACATAATTAGCTATTCTGTCATTGGGTGACTGTTTGACAATATACTGGTACAGAATAAATTAATTATGCTAATCTGCTTAACTAGAAAGATGCAGACATCACTGTATTATATGAAAAGCAACTTAGACACATTAAAAATTTTCTTGAATGCTCCTTCTCACACAGAAATGCTTCCTTCACGAAAATTTGTCTTTCCGATGAGCACATTTATCAAGACGCTGTTTCCCTGCCGATATTCTTCCACAGCTTTGCGCAGAAGTGCCTCCAGTTGATCCTCATTTGTTCTGTCCAGTCGCAGCCCTCTGCCACCAAGTCCTTGGGCACAAACATCATACTCACAATACTGTAGATAATAAATACAGGCTCATCAAAACAGGAAATCAAAGCAAGGCAAAACAAGCAAACTTCTTTGGCACTATACTTTGCCAAAGCTGCCAAAGGTGCTTTATTAATATTCCACCCCAGATGATGTCAGAGGACAGTCCAACATTTTAGAGGGTGGTAAGACGGGGTTTCCCGGCTTTCTGATGCTTTTAACGAATCCAAAACATCTAGAACTGGCCCTAACCGAAACCCACCTATGTCCCACGAGAGAGTGCAGCTTAGGTCCCACGACTGCATGCAGCCTAGTTCCCATGGAACAATGCCATTTAAGTCCCTTTCGAAGATGGTCACTCTGTAGCAAGTCTTACTACAGCAAAGTAGTGTAACCAAATTAATAAATAATTAGAAATTATCTGAACATCACTGAGCATTGTAGAAGTAGTAGTAGTACTTTTACCCCACCAGGACATCAAACAAGCGATAAAGACCCAATGAGACAAAGTGCCACCATGTGGATGAGGATCACCCATGGAGAGGTCCCGGAAACCGCATTCAGCCATTTGACCATATTTATAGCCGGGCTAAATTGCTGCCCCTGGCAGAAATAATCTGAACATCACTGAGCAATGTATTGTATTTTCTTAGAAAATTTTATTTTTACCATGAAGACCCAGTGGGTCATGGGTGGGACATTTTAGTAAAGTAAGTCTTTCACCATAATGACCCAATTGGTCACTGGTGGAACATTTGTGTAAAGTAGGCCAAGGTCACATTAAAAAACAATGTTGACTGGCATGGACTATTGGCCTAATATTGAACCTTATCACCAAATTCAAAAGTAGAGTGAGCATCTTTTGAGTTTTTCATCTGAAGCTCCTTTCATATATTTACAATATACCAACCTGAAGTTTACAAGCGACACTTGACCCAAATATTGGAACTTGCTCCCTCTCAATCTGCATCCAGCTGGCATCATTACCCACAAGTGCCAAAATGGGAGTCTGAATGTGAAAGATTCAATTACAAATTATACAAGTTTTATATATCTATCTCACATATTTTAGTTAGCAATTTAGTTGATTTCTGAACTGTTTATTCCAATAAACAGCAAAAGGAAAACAAAGAAATGAATGGCTTGGCAGTATGGATGGGATGAAACAAGAGCACTGCCTTGATCCGTAATTTTGTGAGATGACAAAGAATGGCCGCCTTTGCTTATCGGCAGTGCACATGATGATGATGCCGACAATGTAAGTCCAGGCTATTCAACTATGTTTACTCAAAGGCCAAATTGTTGAAAAATGGAGATGGTTGCAGATAAGAACCCTTAGCCTCCGCAATGGAAGATGATCATCAATTTCCACTTCTACTATTAAGTGTTGTGGAAAGAAACATCAACTGCTAGATGTGAAGCAATGGCTACTGTCATTCCATATCCATGTTGAAGCTCTTTAGTGTCATCAGTCCATCCTCACACCCATTGGTGCAGAACCAGCCAATCTGTCTGCCTGTTTATTTCCCAACACTCATGCATACCCAGGAGAAAACATCAAGAGGACATTAACTACCCGGAACATATAAAGCGATGCTTGCCACTCTGCAAGGAGCATGAATGTATCCATTTTTTCTAACATCTGCCTGCTTGTCATGTATCCATATCCACCTACTAATCAATTAATGTATATGACTCAGACTCACCCATACAAATTCTTATACCTAGACATTACTCATCTTACTATCTCACTCACTTCACTTATCTATCCATCACTCCTTATCTATCCACTCATCTACTAATCTATCATCTATCACTCACTCACTTATCTATCCTCTCACTCCTTTATCTATCCACTCACTATATATCTATCCAGTCACTTACTTATCTATCCACTCACTTACTTATCTATCCACTCACTCACTTATCTATTCACTCACTCACTTATCTATCCACTCACTCACTTATCTATCCACTCACTCACTTATCTATCCACTCACTTACTTATCTATCCACTCACTCACTTATCTATCCACTCACTTACTTATCTATCCACTCACTTACTTATCTATCCACTCACTCACTTATCTATCCACTCACTCACTTATCTATCCACTCACTCCTTTATCTATCCACTCACTTACTTATCTATCCACTCACTCACTATCTATCCACTCACTTACTTATCTATCCACTCACTTATCTATCCACTCACTCACTATCTATCCACTCACTCACTTACTTATCTATCCACTCACTTAATTATCTACTTATCCACTTACTTTATCTATCTCTCACTCCTTTATCTATCTATCACTCACTCCTATCTCCATCCACTCACTCACTTATCTATCCACTCACTCCACTTATCTATCCACTCACTTACTTATCTATCCACTCACTCATTATCTATCCACTCACTCACTTATCTAACTACTCACTCACTCACGTATCTATCACTCTTTATCCACTCACTCACTCCACTCACTCCTTATCTATCCACTCACTCACTATCTATCCACTAACTCACTTATCTATCCACTCACTCCTTTATCTATCCACTCACTCACTATCTAACCATTAACTCCTTTATCTATCCACTCACTTCTTTATCTATCCACTCACTCACTTATCTATCCACTCACTCCTTTATCTATCCACTCACTCCTTTATCTACACTCACTTATTATCCATCTACCATCCACTCACTTATCTCACTCCTATAATCTATCCACTACTCCACTCACTCACTATCTATACTATCTATCCACTCACACTCACTTATCTAATCTATCCACTCACTTACTTACTATCACTCACTCATTATCTATCCACTCACTTCACTCACTATCTATCCACTCACTCTCTATCTATATCTATCCACTCACTATACTCATCACTATCCACTCACTTACTCTACTCACTATCTATCTCCTTTATCTCACTCACTTACTTATCTATCCACTCACTCACTACTATCACTCCACTCACTCACTATCTATCTATCACTATCCCTCACTATCTTATCATCTATCTATCTATCCACTCACTACTTCCACTCTATCTACTCCACTCACTCATTACTCCTCACTATCTCTATCTATCACTCACTCACTTATCTAACTACTCACTCACTATCTATCCACTCACTCCTTTATCTATCCACTCACTTACTTATATATCCACTCATTTACTTATCTATCCACTCATTTACTTATCTATCTACTCACTCACTATCTATCCACTCACTCCTTTACCTATCCACTCACTCCTTTATCTGTCCACTCAATTATCTATCCACTTACTCCTTTATCTATCCACTCACTTACTTATCTATCCACTCACTCACTATCTATCCACTCACTTATCTAACCACTCACTCACTATCTATCCACTTACTCCTTTATCTATCCACTCACTTACTAATCTATCCACTCAGTATCTATCCACTCACTCACTATCCACTCACTTACTTATCTATCCACTCACTCCTTTATCTATTCAATCACTCACTTTCTATCCACTCACTCACTATCTATCCACTCACTCACTGATCTATCCACTCACTCCTTTATCTATCCACTTAATTACTTATCTATCCACTCACTCCCTTATCTATCCACTCACTCCAGTCACTTACTTATCTATCCTCTCACTCCTTTATCTATCCACTCACTATATATCTATCCAGTCACTTACTTATCTATCCTCTCACTCCTTTATCTATCCACTCACTTACTTATCTATCCACCCACTTCCTTATCTAGCCACTCACTTATCTATCCACTCACTTTCTTATCTATCCACTCACTCACTTACCTATCCACTCACCCACTTATCTATCCACTCACCCACTTATTGACCCACTCACCCACTTATCTACCAACTCACCCACTTATCTATCCACTCATGAGTCCCACAGAATGGTTTAGATTTACAGCTGTGTTGATCCATTAAAAAAAACACACACACGCATGCACACACACACACATAAACAGAGAGAGAGAGACATGCACACATGCACACACACACACAAAGAGAGAGAAAGAGAGAGACAGAGATTTTCAATGCTGGCATGCAAGACTTGGGAAAAAAAGACTGGCACAACCAGGTAACAGAGGCACACAAGACGTACAAGAAGTATGACAAGAAGAACTGGCGCTATTTGCCGCTGGACGCTGCTGTAGAGGGCGTCCAATAAGTTTTCATACAAGGGAAAAACTGGGAGTCACCGTGGCTGAGCGGCTAGACACTAGCCTGCGGATCGGAAGGTCAGGGGTTCGCTCCCTGGTGGAGCCAGACTTAAAAAAAAAAAAATGAACTTGGTTCCCAGCTTGACCAGCATTGAGTGGGTAGCGGGTGCAGTCCTGGGAAGTAAAGGTGGCCGGCGTGATGCTGACACATCACCCATCTTGTGCCGATTGATCTATAAAATATAGATCTAGCCCTATACACCTAAAAAAAAAGGCGTGGAAAAGGGTTCTTTATTTACTTACTTTACTTTACTCAGAAGCAAAAAATTTTAATTTTATTTTAATGAAAACCATTTCTATTTGAATAATGTACTCTACATCTTCTTTGCGAATGTTTCGTATGCTCAGATCAGACCATCAGGTGGGTGGAATCTATAAACTCATATGCTCAGATCAGACCATCAGGTGGGTAGAATCTATGAACTCATATGCTCAGATCAGACCATCAGGTGGGTAGAATCTATGAACTCATATGCTCAGATCAGACCATCAGGTGGGTGGAATCTATGAACTCATATGCTCAGATCAGACCATCAGGTGGGTGGAATCTATGAACTCATATGCTCAGATCAGACCATCAGGTGGGTGGAATCTATGAACTCATATGCTCAGATCAGACCATCAGGTGGGTGGAATCTATGAACTCATATGCTCAGATCAGACCATCAGGTGGGTGGAATCTATGAACTCATATGCTCAGATCAGACCATCAGGTGGGTGGAATCTATGAACTCATATGCTCAGATCAGACCATCAGGTGGGTGGAATCTATGAACTCATATGCTCAGATCAGACCATCAGGTGGGTGGAATCTATAAACTCATATGCTCAGATCAGACCATCAGGTGGGTGGAATCTATAAACTCATATGCTCAGATCAGACCATCAGGTGGGTGGAATCTATGAACTCATATGCTCAGATCACACCATCAGGTGGGTGGAATCTATGAACTCATATGCTCAGATCAGACCATCAGGTGGGTGGAATCTATGAACTCATATGCTCAGATCAGACCATCAGGTGGGTGGAATCTATGAACTCATATGCTCAGATCAGACCATCAGGTGGGTGGAATCTACGAACTCATATGCTCAGATCAGACCATCAGGTGGGTGGAATCTATGAACTCATATGCTCAGATCAGACCATCAGGTGGGTGGAATCTATGAACTCATATGCTCAGATCAGACCATCAGGTGGGTGGAATCTATGAACTCATATGCTCAGATCAGACCATCAGGTGGGTGGAATCTATGAACTCATATGCTCAGATCAGACCATCAGGTGGGTGGAATCTACGAACTCATATGCTCAGATCAGACCATCAGGTAGGTGGAATCTATAAACTCGTATGCTCAAATCAGACCATCAGGTAGGTGGAATCTATAAACTCGTATGCTCAAATCAGACTATCAGGTGGGTGGAATCTATGAACTCATATGCTCAAATCAGACTATCAGGTGGGTGGAATCTATGAACTCATATGCTCAGATCAGACCATCAGGTGGGTGGAATCTATGAACTCATATGCTCAGATCAGACCATCAGGTGGGTGGAATCTATGAACTCATATGCTCAGATCAGACCATCAGGTGGGTGGAATCTATGAACTCATATGCTCAGATCAGACCATCAGGTGGGTGGAATCTATGAACTCATATGCTCAGATCAGACCATCAGGTGGGTGGAATCTACAAACTCCTATGCTCAGATCAGACCATCAGGTGGGTGGAATCTACAAACTCGTATGCTCAGATCAGACCATCAGGTGGGTGGAATCTACGAACTCGTATGCTCAAATCAGACCATCAGGTGGGTGGAATCTATAAACTCATATGCTCAAATCAGACTATCAGGTGGGTGGAATCTATGAACTCATATGCTCAGATCAGACTATCAGGTGGGTGGAATCTATGAACTCGTATGCTCAGATCAGACCATCAGGTGGGTAGAATCTATGAACTCGTAGGCTCAGATCAGACCATCAGGTGGGTGGAATCTATGAACTCATATGCTCAGATCAGACCATGAGGTGGGTGGAATCTACGAACTCATATGCTCAGATCAGACCATCAGGTGGGTGGAATCTATGAACTCATATGCTCAGATCAGACCATCAGGTGGGTGGAATCTATGAACTCATATGCTCAGATCAGACCATCAGGTGGGTGGAATCTATGAACTCATATGCTCAGATCAGACCATCAGGTGGGTGGAATCTATGAACTCATATGCTCAGATCAGACCATCAGGTGGGTGGAATCTACGAACTCGTATGCTCAGATCAGACCATCAGGTAGGTGGAATCTATAAACTCGTATGCTCAAATCAGACCATCAGGTGGGTGGAATCTATAAACTCGTATGCTCAAATCAGACTATCAGGTGGGTGGAATCTATGAACTCATATGCTCAGATCAGACCATCAGGTGGGTGGAATCTATGAACTCGTATGCTCAGATCAGACCATCAGGTGGGTAGAATCTATGAACTCGTAGGCTCAGATCAGACCATGAGGTGGGTAGAATCTATGAACTCGTAGGCTCAGATCAGACCATGAGGTGGGTGGAATCTATGAACTCATATGCTCAGATCAGACCATCAGGTGGGTGGAATCTATGAACTCATATGCTCAGATCAGACCATCAGGTGGGTGGAATCTACGAACTCATATGCTCAGATCAGACCATCAGGTGGGTAGAATCTACGAACTCATATGCTCAGATCAGACCATCAGGTGGGTGGAATCTATGAACTCATATGCTCAGATCAGACCATGAGGTGGGTGGAATCTATGAACTCATATGCTCAGATCAGACCATGAGGTGGGTGGAATCTATGAACTCATATGCTCAGATCAGACCATCAGGTGGGTGGAATCTACGAACTCATATGCTCAGATCAGACCATCAGGTGGGTAGAATCTACGAACTCATATGCTCAGATCAGACCATCAGGTGGGTGGAATCTATGAACTCATATGCTCAGATCAGACCATCAGGTGGGTGGAATCTATGAACTCATATGCTCAGATCAGACCATCAGGTGGGTGGAATCTATGAACTCATATGCTCAGATCAGACCATCAGGTGGGTGGAATCTATGAACTCATATGCTCAGATCAGACCATGAGGTGGGTGGAATCTATGAACTCATATGCTCAGATCAGACCATGAGGTGGGTGGAATCTATGAACTCATATGCTCAGATCAGACCATGAGGTGGGTAGAATCTATGAACTCATATGCTCAGATCAGACCATGAGGTGGGTAGAATCTATGAACTCGTATGCTCAGATCAGACCATCAGGTGGGTGGAATCTATGAACTCGTATGCTCAGATCAGACCATCAGGTGGGTGGAATCTATGAACTCATATGCTCAGATCAGACCATCAGGTGGGTGGAATCTATGAACTCGTATGCTCAGATCAGACCATGAGGTGGGTAGAATCTATGAACTCATATGCTCAGATCAGACCATCAGGTGGGTGGAATCTATGAACTCATATGCTCAGATCAGACCATCAGGTGGGTGGAATCTATGAACTCATATGCTCAGATCAGACCATCAGGTGGGTTGCCTCTATGAATGCGCATGTCAGCAGCAGGTCCTTCATGGTTCCCCATAGCTTGCTCTGCACACTTTTCTCTTGAGGCCAGGTGTCATTTCAAAGTTGCAGGTAGAGAGGTCAGGTCTGCAGAATGTGCTCAGGTGTTTGTGGTCCTGTTTGACTGGCACACTGTGGGGACTGTACAATCTTTCATTTTATGCATGTGATAGTTGAGCCTGCAGTATCTTGTTTGTAGACGGAAAATTATTGTATGTTGCTTTCTGTTGAATCTGCTAATGGAGTCTTGTTTATGTTTACTGTTAGTTCGTTCTCTACACAATCCCCTGTATTTTCCTTTGATAAGTGTTCTGATTTCTGGTAATGACAATGAATGGGCATGTTGTTTCTCCTTTGTTCCATTTTTAGCAAGTCTGTCTGCTAACTCATTTTCTGGTATGCTGCAGTGAGCCGGGATCCATTTGAGAACGATTTAATTGTTTATGTGTTCTACATGACTACAATATCATATTCAAAACACATTTCGCTGTGTGTGCTCCACCGCTAGAGAACATGTATAAGCACAGCTGGAGTTACGCCTGTGTGCTCCACCGCTAGAGAACATGTATAAGCACAGCTGGAGTTACGCCTATAACGGCGTAAATAAATTAATTTTCTCCTATGTTCATTTTAAGATCGTCTTCATCGCACATTGGACATGACCATAAGTGCTCCGATCTCCTCCAGAGTATATCCCCAAGTGTTTTTAGGCTAACAACTCCCATTCTGTTCTGGTTGATGTAAGGACAGGTGGCTCCCACATGGTTTTCCTGAATCGAGGCTCCCAATGGTACGCCCATGCATGGAAACTTATGGAACAACCTGTGCTGTGCGGAAAATTTGAGCACCTATAGATGCACCTGAAGTACCCTGGGGATAGCCCAACTCATAAATCACCTCGCACAAACATGCTTACCTGATGTCTTTTGTATGTGTCAAACTCCACAAGGCTGTACCCAAGTGAACCATCCCCATACACAATCCACACGTCAGATTCCGGTCTGCACAGTTTGGCGCCGAGAGCAAAACCTCCTCCAACTCCCAAGGTTCCAAATGCACCTGGATCGAGCCATCTTAAGGGGCCACGCGGTCTGGAATCATTGTTAAAGAAGCATGTTTGTACAGAATGTTTTTATTAAGTAGGTGCACTGCAAAGTCCAGAAGTGGATGAACAACCAGAAATATTCACTAGAGGTTACAGCTAGTGAACACCAAGAAGAAGACCAGACAGGTGATACAAACTTGTGAAGAGTCAGTGATACAAACTTGTGAAGAGTCAGTGATACAAACTTGTGAAGAGTCAGTGATACAAACTTGTGAAGAGTCAGTGATACAAACTTGTGAAGAGTCAGTGATACAAACTTGTGAAGAGTCAGTGATACAAACTTGTGAAGAGTCAGTGATACAAACTTGTGAAGAGTCAGTGATACAAACTTGTAAAGAGTCAGTGATACAAACTTGTGAAGAGTCAGTGATACAAACTTGTGAAGAGTCAGTGATACAACTTCTGTGAGAAGTTTAAGTTAATACATCAGCAACAAGTTTAAGTTGATTATTTCAGCAAAGAGAAGTTAAAGCTGATACTGACATTAAGGAGAAGTTTAATTAGATGAAACTAAAATCAAGGAGAAATATAAGGTGATGACATTGACATCAAAGAAAAGTTTAGTTTAATGATACTAACATCAAGGAGAAGAATAAGCTTACAATATAGACATTAGGGAGAAGTTAGTTGATGACACTGACATCAGGGAGACGTTTAAGTTGATGATACTGACACTAGGGAGAAGTTTAAGTTGATGATACTGCCACCAGGGAGATGTTTAATTTGATGACACTACCATCAGCGAGAAGTTTAAGTTGCTGACAGTGACATCAGGGAGAGGTTTATTGATGATAGTGATATCAGGAAGAAGTTTATGTTGATGATACAGACATCAGGGAGAAGTTTAAGTTGATACTGAAATCAGGGAAAAGTTTAAGTTGATTATACCGACATCAGGAAGAAGTTAATGATAGTGACATCAGGGAGAAGTTTGAGTTGATGATAGTGACATCAGGGAGAAGTTTGAGTTGATGATACAGGTATCAGGAAGAAGTTTAAGTTTATATTGACATCAAGGAAAAGCTTAAGTTGATGATATTGACATAAGAGAGAAGTTTTAGTTGATGATACAGACATTAGGAGAAGTTTAAGTTGATTATACTGACATCAGGAAGAAGTTTAAGTTGATGATAGTGACATCAGGGAGAAGGTTGATGATACTGACATCAGGGAGAAGTTTAAGTTGATGATACAGGCATCAGGGAGAAGTTTAAGTTGATGATACAGGCATCAGGGAGAAGTTTAAGTTGATGATACAGGCATCAGGGAGACGTTTAAGTTGATGATACAGGCATCAGGGAGAAGTTTAAGTTGATGATACAGGCATCAGGGAAAAGTTTAAGTTGATTATTTGTTGACTGGGTTAGGGTTAGCCTTCCCAGTTAGTTTCTGGGGACATGGCAGTCTCATTGTTGTGTGGTCATCTTTATTTCCCAGGTCACAGGTGGTGCCCCAATCAGGCTGGTCCAGAGAGGCCACATAATGCTGATCAGCCCTCAAGAGAAGGCAGGGGCAGAACATGAGCATTCCACACCATCCAAGGAGGCTTCCACAAGTGCAGAGTTAATAAATGGTGCTGTGGTACTAGGCTCACCCAAGGAATCGTCACGTCCTGCTCATGACTGTTTAAACTCATTTCCATGTACTGAACATCTCATACATCATGGACTATCTCCTTTGTAGCCAACAGTAGGCAGCTTGCAGACCTGGGATTTAATTTACCTATACCATAAAATGAGTACTTCGCTTCTTTTGCATGTTAGACTTTTACTGCAGTGGACTTCCTCATCCACTATAGTTTTACAAGCTCTGCATCTCTAGGGACTATCAGCTCAGAGAATCCCAGTTTTATTCTTCTTATACCTTCAGATGTCAGTGTGGATATATTTGAAGAAATCAGCAGTTAACTTGAGGTTGTTGACATCTCCACACAGTTTATCCTCAAAAGTTGCGGGTGTTAGCCAGAATAATTTTCTCTGTTCTGCATATATTGAACACTCTTGCAGCAAGTGTTTAGCCATCATTTTACCCTTTCCACAGTTAAAATCATCATTGTCTCCTATCTTTAGTTTATTGAACAAGTGGTGTTTCAGCCTAATATGTCCTGTGCGGAGTCTAAAGATCACTACTTGTTCTCTTCGGCCAAGTTGGTAGTATGCATCATCCTTCTTGTAGCCTGGATGTTCAGAATCCCATTTGATTCTACATGTACTTCTTATAAACCTCTTGGCCTCATCATATGTTATATCAGGCTGTGGCAGTCTTCCACCTATCTTTGCCAATCTGTCAGCCTCTTCATTTCCATGTATGTTGCAATGGGATAGAATCCATTGTATCATGACTCTTTTTGATTTCTGACTCAGTCCATGGAGTGCAGCTCTAAGGTCTGCTAGTTCTGTATAATTTTTGCTCTTCAGTGCTGAGACAACTGACTTTGCATCTGTGAAGATAGCTATGTTATCCTCTTCATTTTTCTCCAGCAAAAGCATTTCTGCTGCAGTTCTCAGGGCCTCTGCCTCTGCTATAAAAATACTTGAAAACTTTCCAGTTGCAATCGACTGTGTTTTCGATGATCCATTTTTAAGATTCAGGACAATTCCCTCATCTCCATTTTCTGTTGAATTTTTTGCTGATTCATCTGTATATGCATGAGTCCAGGTGTTACTTGGGTACTGTTCTTCTATCTAGTTTAATGTGATTTTCCTTCCTTCTTTCTGTGTCATTCTGAGTGTTCTTTTTCTCAATACCAGGAATATTTTCCATCAACTCAAGCAGATGCTGCTGTCTCCAACCAGGGAGCATATATGTAATGTGGACGGGTTTTGATACTGATAAGTTAAGTACAGGATCTTCCCTTATTTTAGTTTTTGCAGTCTCTACATAGTTTTTTTCGCTTTAGTCTTCCCCTTCCCAGATGATTAAACCTTTGATACATGGGGTGATCTGTCAGCCTTCTAAATTTTTCTGCTTGTTGCTGGGCTCTGCTGTCTCTCCTATCCTCCATTGGTTGCAGACCTGTGACCTTTTCTTTTCATTAATAGGCGTAGTTTTCATGGCCCGTTATAATCTGCAATCTTGATTTTGGACTCTACTTATTTTGATAAAGTTTGACTTTGCTACTGTTGCCCAAGCTGCAATACCATATTCAAGGACTGGCCTTACTCATCCAGTGTATAGTTTCTTGAGTACTTTCTCATTAGCTCCCCATGTTGCGCCAGCAAGTTCTTTTATACTTGCCATTCTTTGCCTTGCTCTTGATTGACTTGCTTTGTCTTCCATGTCCGGCGACAATCAAATGTGACACTTAAGCATTTTTTATTGTTCTCTTGAAGCAGTATTTTTTCCATTTAACCCTCGCTTTACTGGCTTGTTTTTTTTTTTTTTTTTGAGAGGGAGAACACAGAGCATGTTGTTTTCTCTTCATTGATATTCACTAGCCATGTTTTTGACCATTCCTTTAACACTGACAAGGCTTGCTGCATTCTATTGTTGGCTACACTAATATGTTCTTCGCAAGTCCATATAGCTAAGTCCTCTGCAAAGAATGAGGTGTGTACTCTGGTTGGAAAATTACTTGTATTATCATTTATTTATGCTAAGAACAATGTTGGTGACAATACTACACCTTGGGGTACACCTTGTTCTAACAACATTTTTTTTTTTGCTAGTTTGTCCTTGTACTTTTGTCCTGGAAGTTCTATTCTCAAGGTAGCGACGTCCCACAAATGTCCCTGGTTCCACGCTTCATCAAATGCTTTTTCTAAGTCTACCCACATTGCCAGTGTGTGCTTTTTTCTCTTGAAAGGCATCCTCTATTTTCTGGGCTATATATGTTATTTGGTCCTCAATAGATCTGTACTATCTAAATCCTGTCTGTTGTGGAGTTAGTAGGTGCTTTTCTTCTAGATGCCCCATTAATTTGTTATTTATAATGCATTCCCTCAATTTCCCTATACAGCTAAGTAAGATGATTGGTCGATATGCATTTGGTTCTACAGGGTCTTTTCCTTTCTTCTGGACTGGTGTAAGTATAGCTTCCTTCCATGCCTAAGGGACTTCTCTCTTCCAGCTGCAGTTAAAGACTGCTAGTAATTGCTTTTTTGCCTTAGTACCCAGTCCTATTATCATTTCATTTGTGATCTCATCCTTCCCTGGTGATTTCTTGTTTTTTAGGGAAATCACTGCCTGCTCCAGCTCTTCCATATTGAGATTTTCCATCATAAATTCTGATTTCTCTGTGTTATTTTGACATGCCCGTTGCTCTTTCATTGCTTTTTTGTTTTCTATTGTGATATCAATGTGGTTTACACTAGCATAGTATTCCATCATTGTATTTGCAGCCTGTTTTCCTGTTAGTATGTTGTTACCCTGTTTAATAGTTATTTGTTTGTTACTAGGCCCTTCATTGTTCATGGCTTTTACTAATTTCCACAATTTATTTCCATCTTTGTCCAAGTTGAGGCTTTCTGTTTTTTCTTGCCAGGTATTTCTAGTTGTTTGATTTAATGTTTTTTTGTATTTTGCTGAGATGGCTTTCAGGAAAATGTTTGCCTCAATTGTTTGTTCTCCCTCTGCTGTCTTCCTGACCTCTTCAACTTTTACCTCCAGGATCTGCAGTTCTTTGGTCCAGTATGGTCTGTAATTTTTCCTCGCACCTCTTGGAATGCACTCATATGCTGCCTGCAGTATTGCTTTGTTTAGACTTTCTACTATTGTCTTCATGTTGCCATATCATGTGTTTATGTTTTAACAGTACTCATCTATCAGCAAAGCAACAAATTTATCCCAGTCAGCTCGTTTGTAATTCCATCGAGGCAACAGTTTCTGCTCCATATTTACAACAAACTTTACTGGTCTGTGATTGCTGCCTGCCAACTGATCTAGTACATTGCGATCAGTTTTGTGAAGAATGTCTCCTATGCAGAAGGCTAAGTCAGGAGTGGAAGATTTGCAGCATCTTCTAGAGTAGAAGCTGGGTTTGTCTTCTGGTTTGTTAATTAAATGAAGATTGGAGTCTATTTCCCAGTCCTCCACTTCATCTCCTCTGGTGTCAGTATCTGGGTATCCCCATCTTTCTGAGCGTTTATTAGTCTCCAACTACAATGCAGTTTGTGTCATTTATTTCCATTCTTGATAGTGCAAGATCTTTGTTTGCTGGGCTATAAAAATTGTATATTCTGATTTTCTCCTTCTTCATCATGATATCAACGCCTGTAATTTATGATTCGTTATTTAAGTTCACAGCAACTTCACTGCTTGGTATAGTTTCGAATAAGTATTAGAACTCCTCCCTTGTGCCCTTCTCGGTCGCAGCGTATAGCTTGATATCCTCTGACAGAAAATCTGTGATAGGCATTGAGGTGTGTCTCTTGGATGAATGCCACATCAATTTTGTCTTTATGAAGACGGTTTGTTAGAAAAAGTGTTTTATTTAAAACTCCTTCAGCATTCCACTGTAGTATGTTAAGTGTCCTCAAGATTTGGTCAATAGTTTTTACCCTAATGCCCTGTGCCTTGACTCCACAGCACACGGGTAGGTGCCCACCAGTAATGTTGGGTGTACCCCTTCGAGGCAAGGGGTATGGCACTATCTCTGCCTGGCGAGGCTCCACGAGATCAGCACCATATCAATATATTTTCATTTTGCCCAGGCAGCGCCACTAGGCTACTCTTTTTGATTTCCAACTGCCAATGGATTTGTTACGTGCACAACAATACATACGGGCGCCCGATCTCACTACACAGAGACTGGGGGAATTACTAGAAGTCCAAGTCCACGCCCAAAAAAAATCCTAGCCCTTACCAGGGATTGAACCCGGAACCTCTAGGCGGACACCATGCATTAAGACCATGCAGCGTCTTTTTAACAATAATAACACTAAGTGTAGTAGCTAACAGACTGTTGAAGAATCTGTGCAGTAGTCAACAACTTGTGAGCTGCTGTGTGATTGATTAATCAACACTCAACTGAGGATATATGATGCTGTGTGATTGATTAATCAACGCTCACCTGAGGATATATGATGCTGTGGCTACAAAGTCACCACCGTCAGCAACCAGGATGGCATCGTCCGACAAGATGTCCTCGACAGCATGCAGGACTTTGATGGGATTCAGGTGGACATCAGTCACTTCAGAACATCTGGCACTAGAAGGAAGTCAAAGTAAAAGTAAAGAAGGGAGGATCCACTTCACTGCACCAGGTTTTATCCCCTATGGCTCAGTCTCTCTCTGCAGAACAGTGTCGCACTGAGCATAACCTCCATAGCACAGGCAACGATCCCCAGGGATCTCTGTTAAAAACTGCACTCATAAACTAAACAGCGCTGCCATGAAATGAACCCAAACCCTTCAGAGCATGAGACAACAACCTCCCCCCCCCCCCCCCTCCACTAAAAAATGCTTTTATTGTGGGTCATTGTACGAGAATCACACCATGGAAGAGAATGGGGACTCCCAAAAACAGCGGTGGGTGCAACTATAGTCAACTTTGACAGTGGAGAATGGCACACAATTATTTAATGAATCATCATCTTCATAAACCACCTTTGCTATTAAGCGGTCATGGGGGGTGGGGGGGGGGCAGTTTGCGATCCATTGTAGACTGGCTGGCACTGGCTACTGTCATGACGTGAAGTCGTAAAGTGTCTTTAATGTTGTTGATCCATATTTGTTCATGGCCATCTTCTTGCTCTTGGAGTTGACCGTTTGAGACAGAGTGCCTGTGCTGGTATTTGATGATGCTGCGCTTTAACCACATGACCAAACTATTGATCTGTTGTTTCTCGATGAATCTAGTACAGCGGTTCTCAACCTGTGGGTCACAACCCTTTTTTCGGAGGGTCAAACGACCCTTTCACAAGGATCTCCTAAAAACATAGGAAAACACATATTCATTGAAGTTATGAAGTAGCAACAAAAATAATAGATGTTTAAAGGGCGCCACATCCGAGGAACTGTTTTACAGGGTCATGGCATTAGGAAGGTTGAGAATCCCTGATCTAGTACAAGGTGTCACAATTAATTAATTGTTATAAATAATGCATATGAAAGAACAAAATGTCATCCTGTGGATTCCAGGACTCCATTATGAAGAACAAAGAATAGACCCTTTGCCCCTGTTGTGTGCAATCCGAAAAGTTCACAACAGGGCACGTCCCTAATAAACAAGCTTTAGGACGGTAGACTTAATGTCACTTTGTCCAGGTTTCAACTTCACCACAATCGGGTCACCCCATACTTGCTGCATTTCTGTGTCAGTGCAAAATCAAATGAAATGTCCCTCACTGTCCCATCTGAAAACTGATGAACAAACAATGATCCCAGGCACAATTCAGAAGTATGGGCACCCAGTAAATGAATATGGCAGTTGCAAAAGGTGCCAAAGCCAACAGTTGCCACCAGAAATTCAGTTTGTCATTTATGGAAGTGGTCAGTCACAATAAGCTGGCTAGTCATACTCCAATTTTTTTATTACATCAGGTATTTCGTCAGCCCACATGTAAAGCGGCCAAATTTATGCTACTTGCTGACGGAAAGCCTTGACATGCAGTTGTAGTGTATCTGTAGCCAAAGAAAGGCAGAAAGCTGATCTTGATATATGTTTTCACTATCCGATGGCCACAATATGCTGGAGAGCTTAGTACTTTGTGCTCCAGATCAGAGGTTAGTTACTTAGTCTTTTCTCTTAAGCTAAGTAAGGGCAGCGCATAGGGCAGAGGTCATAGTTCTCTATGTCTGGTGGTTCGCTGCCACCTGTTATAGGTCTTGGATGTTTGTCAGGCCCATGGTCTCTCTTGGTCTTCCTCATTTTCTTTTTCCTTTCGGTGTCCGTAAGAGGGCTTGGTGGGGAAGTCTGGTCATATCCATTTGGAGTGCAGGGTCAATGTAGTTCCAGCGGCGCTTTCTTTTAAAATTGCACACATTATCTTGCTTGGTCTCTTGTCTTATTTGTTAACTGGATCTGAAATCTGTCCAGTGGAGATTTAGTATTCTTCTAAGATGTTTGTTCTCAAAATTGTCTATTTATCTACCTAGACCTAGCGTTGCTTTCCAACTCTTGCATCCATAAGTTAACACTGGAGTCACACAAGCGTTGAAGATCTGAAGTTGTGTGTGACTGACTTCGGGATGTTTGACAGTTTGTTAAAGACACTAGAGGCCAGTGTGATTCTAGATGATATTTCTGGCACTGGTCCCCTATAGATGTCATCTTACCCCTAGGTATGTAAAGCTGTTGACTTTTTCAAGAATTTTGATTGGATAGTTTAATGTCGTCCAAATTACTGTTAAGATCAATAATTATTTTATTTTTATTTTTGCGCTGGTAATCTGGATTTCTATTTGTACTGAAACATTCTGTGATCGAAGATAAAGGTTTTTAATAATCTGTGTGGGATTAAAGCTTAAATGTTGTGGACTGTGTCTGAGGATGGTCATGCTGTAGTTGAGAATTTGTAATAATACTGGAATATCTGCTGGAGGTAGCTAGTACTACTTGCTGGATACATATCTGCTGGAGGTAGCTAGTACTAGTTGCTGGATACATATCTACTGGAGGTAGCTAGTACTACTTGCTGGATACATATCTACTGGAGGTAGCTAGTACTAGTTGCTGGATACATATCTGCTGGAGGTAGCTAGTACTAGTTGCTGGATACATATCTACTGGAGGTAGCTATTACTAGTTGCTGGATATATATCTGCTAGAGGTAGCTAGTACTAATTGCTGGATACATATCTGCTGGAGGTAGCTAGTACTAGTTGCTGGATACATATCTGCTAGAGGTAGCTAGTACTAGTTGCTGGATACATATCTGCTAGAGGTAGCTAGTACTAGCTGCTGGATACATATCTGCTAGAGGTAGCTAGTACTAGTTGCTGGATACATATCTGCTAGAGGTAGCTAGTACTAGTTGCTGGATACATATCTGCTGGAGGTAGCTAGTACTAGTTGCTGGATACATATCTGCTAGAGGTAGCTAGTACTAGTTGCTGGATACATATCTGCTAGAGGTAGCTAGTACTAGTTGCTGGATACATATCTGCTAGAGGTAGCTAGTACTAGTTGCTGGATACATATCTGCTAGAGGTAGCTAGTACTAGTTGCTGGATACATATCTGCTAGAGGTAGCTAGTACTAGTTGCTGGATACATATCTGCTGGAGGTAGCTAGTACTAGTTGCTGGATACATATCTGCTAGAGGTAGCTAGTACTAGTTGCTGGATACATATCTGCTGGAGGTAGCTAGTACTAAGGGCTGGATACATATCTACTGGAGGTAGCTAGTACTAGTTGCTGGATACATATCTACTGGAGGTAGCTAGTACTAGTTGCTGGATACATATCTGCTGGAGGTAGCTAGAACTACTTGCTGGATACATATCTGCTGGAGGTAGCTAGAACTACTTGCTGGATACATATCTACTGGAGGTAGCTATTACTAGTTGCTGGATATATATCTGCTAGAGGTAGCTAGGACTAGTTGCTGGATACATATCTGCTGGAGGTAGCTAGTACTAGTTGCTGGATACATATCTGCTGGAGGTAGCTAGTACTAGTTGGTTGCTGGATACATATCTGCTGGAGGTAGCTAGTACTGGTTGCTGGATACATATCTTCTGGATGTAGCTAGAACTACTTGCTGGATACATATCTGCTGGAGGTAGCTATTAGGGCTGTACCGAATAGTGATTTTCACTATTCGGCTGAATACGAATAACGGGACCATCTATTCGACTGAATACGAATACGAATAGTGTATTGTGTATAAAATATATCTTTAAAAAAAACCGCACATTTATAATGACAAATGTACGCTGAACTTTTACTTCACATAAAGTAGCACAAAATAGTCATCTTCTTCTTTAGCATTCTGAGCCCTTGAGGTTTACTGCTGCAGATATCACTCGTCTCCATTCATCTCTCTGGCTGGCCTTCTCTTCACAATTTGTGACACAAGTTGTTGACAGGTCTGGCTGGACATTATCTCTCGAACTTTTTTTTTTGTTTGCCTCGTGGTCTAAGCCCATTTCTCTCTCAGGTGTATACAGTTTTACTTCTCTGTCATCTGACATTCTTTCAAATATGTCCCAACCATTTTAGTCTGTTAGCTCCTATGATGCCAGTGATCAATGGTGATTTAAACAGATTATGTGTTAGGTTCTTGCTTCTCACTCTCCATTCCCCGCTGTTAGCATCTTTGATGGGTCCAAAGATTTGTCATAAGACTGTTTTCGAAAACCTGTAATAAGGCTTCCTCTCTTTTATTTCTGCTTCAAGTTTCAGAGCCATATAACACGACTGGTCTTATGAACGTTTTATATATTTTGATCTTGATGTTGCGAGACAGACACTTTGACTTTAGCATATGTTGAAGGGCAAAGTATACTTTATTTCTAGATTGTATTCTAGATTTTATTTCTTTTCTCAGCACGTTGGAGCAGTTGAAGTTTGCACCCAAGTACTTATATGTTTCCGTTCTTTTGATTTTCATATTATCGACTTGGATGCAGCCGAAGTTTATATTCTTTCCATGTCTAGTTTGTATTCGTACAGAATAGTAAACAATTAAAAACATTTTATGTTTTGTATCCTTCAGTCAGTCTGTGGTGAATAACAACTAGGAATGAAAGAATCCTAAGTATTATAACAAGTAACTAAACTTGGAAAATGTCACTGACAGCTTAGTTAATGCATGAAAGCTGCATTAGCTTTCAACAAAACAATTCGTTCCATGTTGTTAGTATTAAGGCCGTGTTTGCAGAAACGGGTGTAAGGTAACTACTATTCGTATTCGGTCGAATACCGAATTGTCAATAAGTCCACTATTCGGCCAAGAAGCGAATACGAAGTGAATATTCGGTACAGCCCTAGTAGCTATTACTAGTTGCTGGATATATATCTGCTGGAGGTAGCTAGAACTACTTGCTGGATACAATTCTGCTGGAGATAGCTGGAACTACTTGCTGGATACATATCTGCTAGAAGTAGCTAGAACTACTTGCTGGATACATATCTGCTGGGGGTAACTAGAACTGGTTGCTGGATACATATCTGCTGGAGATAGCTAGAACTACTTGCTGGATACATATCTGCTGGAGGTAGCTATAACTACTTGCTGGATACATATCTGCTGGAGGTAGCTATTACTAGTTGCTGGATATATATCTGCTAGAGGTAGCTAGTACTAGTTGCTGGATACATATCTGCTGGAGGTAGCTAGTACTAGTTGCTGGATACATATCTGCTGGAGGTAGCTAGTACTGGTTGCTGGATACATATCTGCTGGAGGTAGCTAGTACTAGTTGCTGGATACATATCTGCTGGAGGTAGCTAGTACTAGTTGCTGGATACATATCTACTGGAGGTAGCTAGTACTAGTTGCTGGATACATATCTGCTGGAGGTAGCTAGTACTAGTTGTTGGATACATATCTGCTGGATGTAGCTAGTACTACTTGCTGGATACATATCTGCTGGAGGTAGCTATTACTAGTTGCTGGATATATATCTGCTAGAGGTAGCTAGTACTAGTTGCTGGATACAAATCTGCTGGAGGTAGCTAGTACTAGTTGCTGAATACATATCTGCTGGAGGTAGCTAGTACTGGTTGCTGGATACATATCTGCTGGATGTAGCTAGAACTACTTGCTGGATACATATCTGCTGGATGTAGCTATTACTAGTTGCTGGATACATATCTGCTGGAGGTAGCTAGTACTAGTTGCTGGATACATATCTGCTGGTGGTAGCTAGAACTACTTGCTGGATACATATCTGCTGGAGGTAGCTAGTACTAGTTGCTGGATACATATCTGCTGGAGGTAGCTAGAACTACTTGCTGGATACATATCTGCTGGAGGTAGCTAGTACTACTTGCTGGATACATATCTGCTGGAGGTAGCTAGTACTGGTTGCTGGATACATATCTGCTGGAGGTAGCTAGTACTGGTTGCTGGATACATATCTGCTGGAGGTAGCTAGTACTAGTTGCTGGATACATATCTGCTGGAGGTAGCTAGTACTAGTTGCTGAAAACAAATATCTGCTGGAGGTAGCTAGAACTACTTGCTGGATACATATCTGCTGGAGGTAGCTAGAACTACTTGCTGGATACATATCTGCTGGAGGTAGCTATTACTACTTGCTGGATACATATCTGCTGGAGGTAGCTAGTTCTAGTTGCTGGATACAAATCTGCTTTAGGTAGCTAGTACTAGTTGCTGGATAAATCTAACATAACATAACCTTTGATACCTTTAGGGTTGTGGTGGTGTATCCATGGAAGCACTTGCAAACAAAACCCGCCATATTTCTCTGACTTCCGCTTGCTGAACAAGAGTATCATAATTCAGTCCTGTCCATTTCTTGATGCTGCCATTCCTCTTCTTTGACTACTCCCTCCTGGGCCAATGTTTCTTGGAGTACAGTCTTTGCAATTGAATCAAGTCTCACCACATGCCCGACCCCCGTCACAGGCTTGTTATAAAAAGCGAATAATCAGGGGTGTTTCTTTCAAAGTTGGAGCGCATCTACCTGCACACAAATAAGCCAGATCTGTCAAATGGATGTGCACACAAAGTTGGAGCCCATCTGCCTGCACACAAATAAGCCAGATCTGTCAAATGGATGTGCACACAAAGCTGGAGCCCATCTGCCTGCATACAAATAAGCCAGATCTGTCAGTTGGTTCAAGACCAAAGTCTAGGACTGGAGTAATATTCAGAACACCCCCCTCTCCTTTCCCGCCCCCAAAGATCTTCTATAATCACAAACTTATCAGGCAAGAGTTTACTACCAAGTGATGCAGAGCCAGCCAATCTGTCTGTCTGTTCATCTCCCAAAAGACCAAAATGCCCTGAAGAAAATATTACGAGGGCGCTAACAATCCAGGATTTCTAAAACGATGCTTGCCACTCTTCATGGAGCGCACTCTCTCTCCACCCTTATCAGCATGCTTTGTGAGCCTATTAAAAAATGGTCTAAAAAAAATAAATTAAGACATACAGGTTAGCTTTCTCCGTTTCCAGATCTCGAGACTGCAGTAATTTCACCCATTCAGAATCGCACTTGTAGCCTTTCAGGCCACCGACAACTGCAACCAAAAAACTGGCAACATCAGACTGGACAGCAAGGGTTGGCTTCCAGAACATATCAGAGTTCTGGGGAAAAAAACACATAGAGATTTAAAATTTTGTAAGAAAAAATGTATCAAAGAAATGTTTCCCCATTGCAAACTTGAACAAGGAAGACTCCAACAATAGAGGTTACAGTTTATTCTCTGGCAAATTGCACACTACAGTGACAATTCAATAAAAAAACAACATTAAGTACATCCTTTACAACACCTCTCTAGAGATTCACAGTGTATATAATATTCAGATTAAGGAAAGGGAACAACAGACTTCGTCAACACGTGCAAACTTTTCGGTGTAGGAAATACAGAGACGTGCCCCTGCAACTTTGCACCCGAAAATGCTGAGCATGTGCTCCAGCACTGCAACTGTATGCTGACAATAGAGACACAGTCTGGCCTGTTCCAACCACAATGAAGACAATACTTATATGGTACACGAGAAGATATGGATTGCATGATAGCTTTCATACAGGCTACCGGCCTCCTAATATAGATTTTCTGACAGAAGGATCGAGAAGAAGAAAGGCACCTGCTTTTATGATACATAACTAGCGTAGAACACTGGGGAGATAGAACATAACTAATGTAGAACAATGGGAAGATAGAACATAACCATTGAAAAGTGCAAATACTGCAGCTATGCTGTAAACAGGCACAACAGAATTACGTCACTCTAACAAACAAGAAGAAGAACATAACCATCATAGTATGTAACTAACATAGAATATAGATTATAGACAGAACAATCCACTGTACATAGTAAATACATCATAGAATACTGATAAGCACAGAACACAACCATCATAGTACATAACTAGCATAGAACACTGATGGACATAGAACATGAACATAGTAGTATATAACTAGTGCAGAACAGCGATAAAGTACATAAGTGGCATAGAACACACATTCAAAAAGAACATAACCATTGTAGTATGTAACTAATGTAGAGCAATGATAAGATAAAAAAATTAGCACTGTAGTACATAACTAATGTAGGACGCTGATAAGTTAAAACATATCCACTGTAGTATGTAACTAATGTAGAACAGTGATAAGATAGATCATAATCACTGTACATAACTAATGTAGAACACTGACAAAATAGAACATTACCACTGTAGTACGTAGCTAACATAGAACACTGACAAGATAGAACATAGCCACTGTAGTACATAAATAATGTAGAAAAATCATAAGACAGAACATAACCATTTTAGTACATAAATAACGTAGAACACTGATAAGATCAAACATAATCCCTGCAGTATGTAACTAATGTAGAACACTGACAAGATAGGACATAACCACTGCAGTAGGTAACTAATGTAGAACACTGACAAGATAGAACATAACCATTGCCGTACATAACTAAGGTAGAACACTGAAAAGATTGAACATAATAACTGCAGTATGTAAGTAATGTAAAACACTGATAAGATAGAACATAACCATTGCCATACGTAACTAAGGTAGAACACTGATAAAATAGAACATAATAACTGCAGTACGTAACTAAGGTAGAACACTGATAAGATAGAACATAACTATTGCCGTACGTAACTAAGATAGAACACTGATAAGACAGAACATAACCACTGCAGTACATAACTAATGTAGAACACTGATAAGATAGAACATAACCATTGCAGTACGTAACTAATGTAGAACACTGATAAGATAGAACATAACCATTGCAGTATGTAATAAATGTAGAACACTGATAAGATAGAACATAACCATTGCAGTACGTAACTAATGTAGAACACTGATAAGATAGAACATCGCAATTCGTAAATAATGTAGAACACTGATAAGATAGAACATAACCATTGTACACAACTAATACAGAACACCGAGAAGATAGAACATAACCACTGTACATAACTAGAAAGAACACTGATGAGCACAGAATATGACTAACATACAACACAGCTACAAAATAGAATAACACAGAACAAAACTAGTAGAGAAACATCCCTGGAGAAATGAGTCCTATGAACTGTGACAGAAAAGCTTTATGAAAATGGGAAGGGGAACAAAGTACACTCAATAAGACAAACTGACATTTTAGCTAGGGCTTTTTTTGACATGAACTACACAATAATAACAAAGTGTAAAGTAAATAATAACAAAGTGTAAAGTACTTGAACCACAGTATCCACAAGGAGGTCACTTGAACAGCCATTTAAAAAAAATAGGAAGAGAAAAAGGCGATGTGAAACGAACAACATGAAATAAAATTAATGATGGCTCGAAAATAGTCATAAAAGTTAACAGTTGGGTTATCATCACTGCATTTAGGACATGTCCATAGGTGCTCAGATCCTCCCCTCAGTATGAACCCCAGTGTCCTGTGGCTAATAGTACCAATTCTATGCTGATTAACAAGTCCTCTGACGTGCCTGTTGTGCGTCTAATTTTTTGCTACGCTGATCTTAACTCCCAAGTCTATCATTCTGGCGAGTGATGTGACTTCTCTGCTCCCAAAGTCTTCCACTTCTCAGAGGGCATTATAATATCAGCATGAACCACAGACTGACCGACAGTAGTGATAGCGGATCCAGCCAACCTATCAGCTCTTTCGTTTCCATCGACGCTCATAATATGGACAATATTTAAAAGTAGAAGGAATAAAAGAGTAGCAGGAATAAACATTCTAATTATCTATAAATGGTAAAATAATAACAGATAGAATAAAACAATAATACCCCCCCCCCCCCCCCCCCCCCCCCCAAAAAAAATTATTTAAAATGAAAGAAGGAACATTGAAAATGTTTAGCTAATGATTTGCTGAACATTGACATCTGCTGGGCTTAGAACACATAGACTATGGATGAGACCATTTTCCAAACAGAGATGCATGGTTTAATCACTAGAGCAAGATTTTATCGCAGTGATGGATACATCATCTTTGCCTCTGTGGTCAGTCAATATTTCCTGTTATCAGCTTGAGTGCATTCACTGTTCTTCACATTCGCTGGCTGTAAACTCCTGTGGAAAAATTCTGGTTGTTCATCCACTTCGGGACTTTTGTCTTGTTCCAGAACTCAATTTCTGTGTGCACATCAATTTTACAGATCTGACTTATTTGTAGGCAGACTGCTGGTTCGTTGCCAGTCATAGCTGATGCAATCCAACTTTGAAAGATACACCACTAATTAATTAGTTAATTTTTACAACACATCTGCTAAATAGGCAGTGAGTGTATTCTTTTTGTTCTCAAAATGTGGCCCTGGAACCAAAATGGAGAACCAGCAGACACAAGGCTTAGTGTAAGAAGTAGATGGGGAACCAGCACATAAAAGATTTAGTGTAAGAAGTACATGGAGAACCAGCACACACAAGACTTAGTGTAAGAAGTACATGGAGAACCAGCACACACAAGACTTAGTGTAAGAAGTACATGGAGAACCAGCACACACAAGACTTAGTGTAAGAAGTACATGCAGAACCAGCACATACAAGGCTTACCGTAAGAAGTACATGGAGAACCAGCATACACAAGACTTAGTGTAAGAAGTACATGCAGAACCAGCACATACAAGGCTTAGTGTAAGAAGTAGATGGGGAACCAGCACATACAAGGCTTACTGTAAGAAGTACATGGAGAACCAGCACACACAAGGCTTAGTGTAACAAGTACATGCAGAACCAGCACACACAAGACTTAGTGTAAGAAGTACATGGAGAACCAGCATACACAAGGCTTAGCATAAAAAGTACATGGAGAACCAGCAGACACAAGACTTAGCGTAAGAAGTACATGCAGAACCAGCACACACAAGGCTTAGTGTAAGAAGTAAATGGAGAACCAGCACACACAAGGCTTAGTGTAAGAAGTACATGGAGAACCAGCACGCACAAGGCTTAGTGTAAGAAGTACATAGAGAACGACCACACACAAGACTAATTGTAACAAGTATATGCAGAACCAGCAGACACAAGACTTAGCGTAAGAAGTACATGGAGAACCAGCAGACGCAAGACCTAGTGTAACAAGTACATGGAGAACGAGCACACACAAGACTTAGTGTAAGAAGTACATGGAGAACCAGCACACACAAGGTTTAGTGTAACAAGTACATGGAAAACTAGCAGACGCAAGACTTAGTGTAACAAGTACATGGAGAACCAGCACATACAAGACTTAGTGTAAGAAGTACACGGAGAACCAGCACACACAAGACTTAGTGTAAGAAGTACATGCAGAACGAGCAAACACAAGGCTTAGTGTAAGAAGCACACGGAGAACCAGCACACACAAGGTTTAGTGTAAGAAGTACATGGAGTACGAGCAAACACAAGACTTAGTGTAAGAAGTTCATGGAGGACAAGCAGACACAAGACTTAGTGTAAGAAGTACATGGAGAACCAGCACACACAAGGTTTAGTGTAAGAAGTACATAGAGAACCAGCACACACAAGACTTAGTGTAAGAAGTACATGGAGAACCAGCACACACAAGGTTTAGTGTAAGAAGTACATGGAGAACCAGCACATACAAGGCTTACTGTAACAAGTACATGGAGAACCAGCAGCCACAAGGCTTAGTGTAACAAGTACATGGAGAACCAGCAGACACAAGACTTAGTGTAACAAGTACATGGAGAACGAGCACACACAAGACTTAGTGTAACAAGTACATGGAGAACGAGCACACACAAGACTTAGTGTAAGAAGTACATGGAGAACCAGCACACATAAGACTTAGTGTAACAAGTACATAGAGAACCAGCAGACACAAGACTTAGCGTAAGAAGTACATGGAGAACCAGCACACACAAGACTTAGTGTAAGAAGTACATGGAGAACCAGCACACACAAGGCTTAGTGTAAGAAGTACATGGAGAACCAGCACACATAAGGATTAGTGTAAGAAGTACATGGAGAACCAGCACACACAAGGCTTAGTGTAAGAAGTACATGGAGAACCAGCACACACAAGGTTTAGTGTAAGAAGTAAATGGAGAACCAGCACACACAAGGCTTAGTGTAACAAGTACATGGAGAACCAGCACACACAAGACTTAGTGTAAAAGTACATGGAGAACCAGCACACACAAGGTTTAGTGTAAGAAGTACATGGAGAACCAGCACACACAAGACTTAGTGTAACAAGTACATGGAGAACCAGCAGACACAAGACTTAGGGTAAGAAGTACATGGAGAACCAGCACACACAAGGTTTAGTGTAATAAGTACATAGAGAACCAGCACACACAAGGTTTAGTGTAAGAAGTACATGGAGAACCAGCATACACAAGACTTAGTGTAAGAAGTACATGGAGAACCAGCACACACAAGGCTTAGTGTAAGAAGTACATGGAGAACCAGCACACACAAGGTTTAGTGTAAGAAGTACATAGAGAACCAGCACACACAAGGTTTAGTGTAAGAAGTACATAGAGAACCAGCACACACAAGGCTTAGTGTAAGAAGTAAATGGAGAACCAGCACACACAAGGCTTAGTGTAAGAAGTACATGGAGAACCAGCACACACAAGGTTTAGTGTAAGAAATACATGGAGAACCAGCACACACAAGACTTAGTGTAACAAGTACATGGAGAACCAGCAGACACAAGACTTAGCGTAAGAAGTACATGGAGAACCAGCACACACAAGGCTTAGTGTAAGAAGTACATAGAGAACCAGCACACACAAGGCTTAGTGTAAGAAGTACATGGAGAACCAGCACACACAAGGTTTAGTGTAAGAAGTACATAGAGAACCAGCACACACAAGACTTAGTGTAAGAAGTACATAGAGAACCAGCACACACAAGACTTAGTGTAAGAAGTACATGGAGAACCAGCACACACAAGGCTTAGTGTAAGAAGTACATGGAGAACCAGCACACACAAGACTTAGTGTAAGAAGTACATGGAGAACCAGCACACACAAGACTTAGTGTAAGAAGTACATGGAGAACCAGCACACACAAGGCTTAGTGTAAGAAGTACATGGAGAACCAGCAGACACAAGACTTAGTGTAAGAAGTACATGGAGAACCAGCACACACAAGGCTTAGTGTAAGAAGTACATGGAGAACCAGCACACACAAGGTTAAGTGTAAGAAGTACATGGAGAACCAGCACACACAAGGCTTAGCGTAAGAAGTACATGGAGAACCAGCAGACACAAGACTTAGTGTAAGAAGTACATGGAGAACCAGCACACACAAGGTTTAGTGTAAGAAGTACATGGAGAACCAGCACACACAAGACTTAGTGTAAGAAGTAAATGGAGAACCAGCACACACAAGGCTTAGTGTAAGAAGTACATGGAGAACCAGCACACACAAGGCTTAGTGTAAGAAGTACATGGAGAAATAGCACACACAAGGTAAGAAGAACAACACAATAAGTGAGGACTTACCTTCAGAAGCTGCTTGTTGTCTCTGTTGACAGAAACAATTTTGCTGCGTCTAGGCAGAACTCTGCCATAGCCAAGTCGGAAGTCACAAACAGCTCCTAAAATATGATTACATTTGTATAGGTTTAGAGTTTTTTTTTGGGCGTGTTCACCAGCTGTAAACTCTGGCAGGAAGTTCTGGTTGTTCATCCACTTTTAGACTGCAGTCCTGTTCCAGCTGAGTGTTGCGTGTGCATCCGTTTTAAAGATCTGACTCATTTGTTTGCCGACTGCTGGTTCCTTGCCTCTCAGGCAGATGCACTCCAACATCTAAGGAAGCTCCCAAATGGTCGACACTTACGACAGGCTTTTGGGTGGGCAGTGGTTATATTCTTGTTTTCCCAAAATAGGGCCCCGGAATCCACACGGGGAGTTTAAAGTTTTGAACAACGGATCAACATCATGGCACACGGGTAGTAATCCATGAGTGCTCCCTTTTTCTTCTAACTCAACTCCATTCCTTTTCTAGCTCAGCACAGTGCACAGGCTCTGTAGCATCTGCAAGGATCCTGAAATACTTTGGGTAGATTTTTAACTCCAAATATTGCCCGGGCAGCGCCGTTAGGCTACTCTTTTCGATTTCCAGCTGCCAAGGGATTTTTTACGTGTGCAAAAATGCCCACAGGCATCGAATCTGACTACCCAGAGACCAGGGGGGATTACTAGAAGTCCAAGTCCACGTGTAAAAATCCCAGCCATTAAGGGGGTTGAACCTGGAACTTCTAGCACTCGAGGCGGACACCATGCCTCGAGACCATGCAGCTCCACTTGTAAAGGTTAAAAGTTGAAAGGTTAAAGTCGAGTGGACTGACTTCACTGTACAAGGTTTTATCCCACATGGCTTGGTTTCTTTCTGCAGACCGGCCAGCCATCTGCGCTGACAGCATAACACAAAGAACAAGCTCTGGCGATGATACCCAATGGATCGACAAATACTGCACCCATAAATTTGGCGATTTAACGGTGGAATGGCTTGACCATTCATGACGGAGACCCCCTGAATTAATTTTTTGAATCCAAAAACTGCAGAATAGCAAAATGGAATAACGGAGCTTTATGAAACGGAGCTTTGTTTGTCATTAAAAAGATGGTTGGCACACTGTGTTGTAGTTTACAGCTATGCTACGATACCTGCAATTTTTCGGTCCAACACACCCGATCTCACCAAGTCTTTAATTAGTCATCTTTTATCATCTGTCCTTCCCGTGTGGATTCCAGGGCCCTGTTATAAGGAAAACAAGAATAGGTCCACTGCCTACTCAAAAGCATGTCGTAAGAGTCGACTAACTGGGAGCTTCCTTCAAAGTTGGAGTGCACCTACCTGAGAGGCAAGGAACCAGCAGTCTGCATACAAATGAGTCAGATATGTAAAACGGATGCACACGCAACACTCAGGTTCTGGAACAGGACTACAGTCCAGAAGTGAATGAACAACCAGAACTTCCCGCCAGAGTTTACAGCTTGTGAAAGCGAAGAAGAAAGAAATTGATATGTTTGTTAAGGGACATGGGTTGTTTCTTTTTCCCCCAAAAGTAATGGAAAGCCCGGAACTAAGAATGAATCACTAAAATAGAGCTTAAGGTGAGAATAATAAATACCAGAAAATTAAGTGAGACTCATTGCCCCACTAACCAGGATAGTCATAAAAGGCAACTATAGGGGGTTTCTTCGAAGTAGGACAGCATCTACCTGAGAGGTGAAGAAACAACAGTCTTTATACAAGCAAGCCAGAACTGTAAAAGAGGTGTGCACATACTCCAGCTCTGGATCAAGATGGAAATCTAGAAGTGGACAAACAAACAGAGCTTTCTACTGGAGTCTACAGCCAAGCAATGCTCAGAAGAAAAAGGTGAAGAAGAACAAATGAGATTTTGAAAAAAAAAGCAGAAGAGGACAGTCCACAGGAACAGTTGAAAATGCTGGGAAAAATATTATGGCAATTAAAGAGTGGATTTGTACAAACTGAGGAAAGGATGGTATACACCTCCCTCGATTCCAGGGTAGTGGATTGGATGTCTAGACTTCTCAGACAAGTATGTTAAAATCACAAGATGACCAATACATAGACAGTATAGAATGAAAATCCCTCAGCAGAAATTGAAAAAGCAGACTGACTCAGTTGTTATTTAGACTTTCCAGGTTTCAACTTCACCACAATCAGGTCACCCCACACTTGCTCCATTCCTGTGCCAGTGGCAATCAAATGTCCCTCACTGTCTCATTTGAAAAACTGGTGTACAAACAATTAGTCCCGCAACAATCCAGAAATATACACACGCAGTAAATGTTTATGGCAGTTGCTAGAGGTGCTAAAGCCAACAATCGCCACCAGAAATGCAGTTTGTTGTTGACGGAAATAGTTGGACACGATAAGTTGGCTATACACACCTACATAAGGTATTTCAGTTGCTGCTACTTAGACTAAGTTTTATAATTATAAAAGCTGCCTATTAAACAAGTAACACTGATGTTTTATAAGTGTTTGTTTGACAGTTTTTTTTTTTAATCGGTTTGCGAGTGCAGTTTTTTAGAGGCCCCTGGGGATCATTGCAGGAGCAACCGTGCTAGTGCTGTGTGTGTTGCTCTTGGGCAAAAGTTTGCTGTTCTGCAGAGAGACTAAGCGATCTGGGATCAAACCCAGTATAATGAAATAGCCCCTTCGCTTTAACGTTACAAAGACAGCTTATCACACAGATTAGAATGACACAATAATCACTTCTGGCATTATTATAAGATGATAAGAACTGGAACATTGGTGTTAACAGTAAGAAAATTCATGTACCAAACTTGGGAAATTCATTACTCCTTCAAGAGTTAAAAGTTCTAAAAATGTTCACCCACCTGCAAGAATAATCAGGTCAGCTTCCTTAAGGGCTTCCCGCCTTTTCTGACGAGCTTGTATATTGCTACGGTGTCCAAGTAACCCACGAGACATGCCACCAAGGAAACATGGGACACCCAAAGTCTGAAAACAAACAAATCAAATGGCAATCTCCAGAGAAACCACTAAGGAAACATGGGAAATGGAAAATCTGAGGAAAAAATTGTGTCAACTCCAGAAATACCATGAAGAAAACATGGTATGCTATGGTAGGCCAAGTATTGGGACAGCTAGTGCCCCTTTTACAGCAAAAAGCCATCCCAATCAGCACAAAGAAACATCGCATACAAAGCATATAGATTCCTGCCCTATGCTACCAGTGCCAGACATGGTCACTCACAACAAAACAGAAAAGAAAATTAGTAACCATGGAAATGAGGTGTCTGAGAAAGGCTGTAGGAGTGACCAGAAGAGATAAAATCAGGAATGAGATCATACGAGATAAAGTCGGCACAGAACCAATTCTAAATTACATTGAAAGACAGGCAAATCAAATGGTCTGCCCACTTGGAGAGAATGCCTCCTGATGCTATACTATTCAAGGCATGTATAAAAGAGGAGAGGGACTTAAGGCAAGTACCGCGATGTGTCTTTGGTCGAAGCAGCCAGAAAAGCACAAAGCAGGACATTATATCTCCCTTGACCCTGAAGCAGTAAAATAGGACAGAAAGAAGAAAAAAAGAAGAAGAATGACTGAGAACCAAAAAAAAAAACATCACGGTAATCTCAAATGGTAATCCTAAATGGTAATCTCGATATATGACACCATGAACACATGGTTTATCTTTGATTTGAACCCCCCCCCCCCCCCCCCCCAATAAATCAAAGCAATCTTAAATGGTACTCTTGAGGTCGAGGGTCGTGGAGACTCAGGGCTGTAGTGGCTAGGACTCTCGGGCAGTGGAGCACACCAGCTGTTCCCCCTTTTGGGTCTCTGGGTCTAACCTTATAGGTGAAAGGGGAGCACTCAGGTGGTAAGTCCTCTGACCTGGCAAGCCATTCTACAGTCAAGACCGTTGTCCAAGACCGAAAAGGCACATCCAACACGAAGTGACCCCTTTAACGGTCATGGGATACAACACAACAGATCTAGAGGAGACAACTTCGATAAAAAACCCTAAGCCTAAGGTGGATCTACGTGCCGAGAGGCCAAATGGCTTTGGGATAGGCAGTCGTGAACGTGGACGTCTGGTCAGCAGGAGGGGCGGCGCCAGGCGTACGGACTCCATAAGGACATCCACTGCCTCTTCCCTAGCAGGCAGGCTCTACTATGGTGACCGGTTACTTTCTGCTCCATAACAACTTCAACATATGGATTTTTTATTTTTCATTTAATAAGAATTGTTGCCCGAGCTACGGAGCACGTGCTCTGCGCTTGACGTCATCTTCAGCAAGCAGCAAAGAGAAGGTGAAGAGGAGAAAACGAGAAAATAGTGAGACAAGAAAGCAGATAAAAAAAAGGACAGGAGCCAGGAGATTGGACACCAAATGGACTGTCCTGGGTGATCATGGAAGTGACCATCTGCCATGTTCGGTATTGATCTTCAAATTCAGAAAAGTTATTTAAGAGCTCATAGACCTTTCAAGTATGAGCAGACTAACACCCTTCTTGGACTCCTCTGAAAGAGGGCTGGCAGATCTACTTTTGTGCAGCCTCCATGGTAGACATCAGAGGTTGAACAGGCATGGAAGTTAAGGAGAGCTGCAGTAAAGCGTTTAAAGAAAGTACAAAAGACAGCCCTAAGCTCACAGGAGGAGTTGGAGTGCACTGAAAGAGATAAGAAAGACAAGATAGAGTTGCCTGACTCTGCTTTTTCATCACCTGGCAGCTGTACTATTTCCACTTCCAAATCTATGTCACACAATGGAAATACTTCCTCTCCAATCTCATCCCTTACTACAATTACCATGTCACAAAGACCATCATGCCACCTCATATGAATCATACCAGTTTGTTTAATGTTTTTTTTATTCAATTTATGAAATTATAAATTTGAACTTCCAAAAAAAAAAGACAAAGGCAATTCAACTTTCAGTTTATATCTACCAATATTAAAACAATCTGCCTAATAAAAACTATGAAGAGAATGTTTCTTTAATTTAATTTAATATACTAAGTGAACATTCCGTCACCCTTCTATTATCCTCCGACTGGGCTTTCTAAACTTACTCTGTAGTATTTCTAGACCCCCTGCCTCTACCTTATACCCTCTAAGTCTGCCTAAGTCCAAGTCTTCCTAACCAGGGGCTCTCTTTATATAGCGCTATCTGCAGATTGTTCCAGAAAATGCAAGGAATGTCAGGAACACTGGCGACTGCGCATCGAAAATACAATAACCCAATAAAATGTTGAATACTTTCATCAACAAGGTATTTACAAGTACGGCAAGTTTGGGTCACATGATGAAAAAACGAATCTTAGAAACTTCTAGAAAAAAGGGCCAAGGCCAAGCAACATCGGGTCGACTAGTACTAATTCCGTCACTAGTTAGTTTTGGCGGGAAAAGAAGGTTCTTAAGTGTTGTTGACTTAACCTGTTTTTATTCATACGCAATTTGCACAGTGCTACCTGTTTCAAATGCCGCTTTCCTCGCGCCCTGAAGGTGGTGGCTTCATTTCACAGCTGCACCTTTCAGTCAACGATTGCAATTTTTAGGGAGATCCCTGTGGATTCTTGCCGAAGCTACTGAGTTCGCACTCTCTGAGGCGCTCTCGGCAGGTGCCAGCTGTTCTGTGGAGAGAGCCACATGGTATAAAACCCGGTGCAATTAAATCGACCTCTTGACTTTAACCTCGGCTTTAACTTTTAGCCTTATTAATATTGTGTGATGTCAATGGTCAACTCTCTGTAACAATCTCAAAATAAAGTCTGTTCACCCCCACAAACCCCCACAGGCTTGCTGTATAATTAATGTTTACCTCTAAAGCCTTCCTCAGATCCTCGACTGGCGTAGGAGGCAGAGTAGCCTGGCTTCCCAGCAGTATCACCGGCTTTTTGGCACGAGATATCAGCTCTATGCACTTTTGCACTGAAAATAGAAAATATTATCTAATTAGCAGAGTGGAATAATCAATATTAAAGTAAGTCACTTTCAAAATCAATCAGTGTCAGGGAAGGAAATAGGGTGGGGATGGAGGCAATCTTACTGCCTAGTTGTGTCAATGCCATGTGGTACCATTGGTCAAAACTGTACCAATGCCATGTGGTATCAATGGTAAAAACTGTATCAATGCCATGTGGTATCAATGGTCAAAACTGTATCAATGCCATATGGTATCAATGGTCAAAACTGTATCAATGCCATATGGTATCAATGGTCAAAACTGTATCAATGCCATGTGGTATCAATGGTCAAAACTGTATCAATGCCATGTGGTATCAATGGTCAAAACTGTATCAATGCCATGTGGTATCAATGGTCAAAACTGCATGAATGTCAATGTGAAATCTATGGTCCAAACTATGCTAATGCCATATGATGACAATGGTCAAAACTGTATCAATGTCATATAATATCAATAGTCAACACTGTATCATGTGATGTCAGTGGTCAAAACTATGCCAAAGCTATATCAATGGTCAAAACTGTGTCAACCCCACACAAGATCAAAGGTCAAAACTGCATCAACCTCATAAGAAAACAAAAGTCAAAACTGTATCAACACCATTAGATAGCATTAGTCAAAACTGTATCAAATACCACAACCAGCAATCTGTATGAATCAACACTGAAATTATCATCCAAAGAAAAATGCTACCTTGACTACTGCTGGCTCTCGGAAACTCTACAGGCAGAGGTCCAGGGTTTCTGTCTTCCCAGGCCCCAGCGAACAAGTTGCTCAGATGGTTTTCCAGATACCTGGATAGATTAGTTAACAGATGGTAAATCTGATAGGAAAAAAGAGCAAGAGAATGACAAAGAGAAAATAACAGGTAACATATTTACCATGTGGCCCTGAAAAGCTACAAAAACCGATACTTCTAGCTGGTGGCCAATTCTCTGTAAATATTACTTGTCTGACCTGCCAATAGTGACTGATTACGAAACTTATAGTTAATGTTATTGGCTGAGTTTACTACGCCTGCACATACATTTATGAGGTCCAGATGGTAATATATTCATTAAAAATAGCATTTGGGGAAGGGATACTTCAAACCAAATGGTTTTATATTTCTTTATATATCCCCACCCACCCCACAAAAGCACATAAATTGTTTTTTAAATTGGGAAAAAAAGGGGGGGGGGGGGTGAAGCATTCCCAGGGGGTCATGACCTTGTGTTTTAGACATTTTTTAAAGCTTCACGAGGGTAAAAGAGTTTAAGGTCAAAGGTTTCTTCCAAAGTCTGTCATATACAGGGCATATGATACTAGGTTCGTTTGTGTAGACTAGTCAGTTCTCAGTAGGTGATGTGGTCAATATTAAGCCATCCACCTTTACTTCCCACGACCTTGCCTCATAAACATTTTAGGCTAGGTCGACCTAGAAGCCTAAGCCAATTTTTTTTTTTTTATATTGGGAAAAAAAATTTGCCACCATAAGGCTTCAAACTCAAGATCTTCAGATTATCAGGCCAATGTCAAGCCACTAAACTACTGTGAATCATCATTATTCCCATAATATTAGATAAAGTAACAATAAAAATGAACAATCCCCTCTTATGCAAACAGAAAGAGTAGGTTATAAATTTGCAGTTACCCCGGTTTAGTTATGTGACTACTGTGAACTTCTAGCGATTATAGAGAAACCATGTAATGTTTATTTTAGAAGAATTAATTCAGTCTGTGTGCTTCATTATGTGTTAACTCTTTCCGTCCCAAGGATTAGCATCAGAGGCCAAGGGGTAGTAAAAAGAGATGTAAAAATCAGCACATCTTTGGTTCATTGGGCTTCTAGAAAGGAGCCTATGAATGTACACAGACGGTTCAGTGTCAAGAGGCAAAAGAAGTGCTTGGGTCTTTTTAGCAAAAGTTAATGGTTGATGTTTGGTGCAGGAGAGCCTAGCATATGATACCACAACATCCAGCTTAAGAATGGAGGTGGAGGCGGTTACTGCAGCTTTCCGCTGGCTAGAGAACACGACACACACACACATTGTAATTGTAACTGATTCAGAAAGCATGCTGAGGAAGATCAGAACAGGTATGCTTCGTACAGAGTGGCATGCTTCGCTGCGGAGGACACGAGTGAGGAGTATTGTCTGGATTTTTTCACTGTGTCACGCCGGTGTGTTGGGAAATGAACAGGTGGACAGACTGGCTGGCTCTGCACAACTTGGTGGAATACTGCTACATGATAGGGCAGACGTGGTTAGTGCCTTGTGGGAGAGCGTGTACAATGCGGAGGAGCAGATGGATCACCAGTTGGTGAGATTGATGCAGTTGGGGGTGACGAGAGGGTCTAGCAGAAGCTCAAGGCTCAGAGAAAAGGCAAGATGGACGTTTAATCAGAAAGCTACTGACACTATTAGTATCGGAACTCTTCGCTGGCTGCTGAAGATGGGGACGGAGCGCTTATGGGAATGCCCCGAGTGCTGTGATGTTGGTTCTTGAATTGAATCAAATCAAATCAAATCAAATCAACCTATGAATGTGTAACGTGTTCCTTGGCACCAGATGAGATACAGCAAAATATGTCTGGCAATAAACTGTGCAACATATTGTTTGTGCCTGTATTATTTAGATATCAGATACATTTTTTGGTTTCAATTTTACAAGACTTGGCTGGAGTCCAGAGGAGAACTTCTTACGTCTTTTATCTCCAAACGCAAAAAAAGGCGCTTAACCAACTCATGCTAAGCTCTTTGACACTTCGTGGAATTGCATTTCATCAACATCATGCTGCACCATTTTTATACATCACATAGGGGTCTGAGTCTATTCTTCCATAGACAGACAAGCCGCCCCCCCCCCCCCCCCCATCCAAAGCATGTCCTAAAATTTGACTAGCTATAACAAAGTCTGCATAGAAATAAGCCAAATATGTAAAATGGATGTGCACGCAAATCTCAAATTATGGAAAAAGACTAAAGGTCCAGAAGTGGACGAACAACCAGATCTTTCCAATAGATTGACTGCCAGTGAACATTTCCTAGCATTCTTTTTAGGCTTGGTCAATCTGCATACCCAAGTTACATTAAAAAGCATAAGAAATATATTTATCACCCACATCATCATCTTTTTTTTTCTGCGTTCACTGGCTGTAAACTACAGCAGAAAGTCCTGATTGTTTGTCCACTTCTGGACTTTAGTCTTGTTTAGAACCTAAGCATTGCCTGCACATCCGTTATACAGATCTAACCTATCTGTATGAAGATTGTTGGTTTCTTGTCTCTCAGGCAGATGCACTCCGACTTCAAAGGAAGCCCCCAATTAGTCTACTCTTATGACATGCTTGTTGAGGAAGCAGTGGGTCTGGTCTTTTTTTCCCCCCAACAAAGGGGCCCCGGAACCCACACGGGACCCCTCATCATCAATCAGCATATCCCTAATGGAACATCGCTCTCGTCACGGCATGCCAGATAGTCTCTCCTTCTCTAGTCGATTCTCCAGCCCTGTGTGCTTTCTTAGCCAATGCAGCTTGACTGTCTTGTATCAATGCTCGCTATACCCTCGCTCACCGTGCTCTCCAGGCACCATGACCTATAGTAAAGTAAGTCAAGGACCCTTTTCAACGCCTTCAGATGTACTGGGCATACAGGGCTAGACCTATATTTCTTATAGATCAATCGGCACTTGGTGGGTGATGTGGTCAGCATCACGCCGGAAACCTTTACTTCCCGGGACTGTACCTTGTACCAGCTCAAGGCTGGTTCGGCCTGAGAGGCAAGGTCATGTGTTTTAAAAAAAAGTCTGGCACCATCAGGACCCGAAACCATGACTTTCCGATCCGCATGCGAGCATCTAGCCACTACACCTTGAGGGCTCCCTACCATTATGTAAAACATAGTCCCAAAAAATATAGCTTAGCTTTCTCTACAAATCAGTGGTTGTTAACCTTCCTCATGCCGTGACCCTTTCATACAGTTCCTCATGCCGTGACCCTTTCATACAGTTCCTCATGCCGTGACCCTTTCATACAGTTCTTCATGCCGTGACCCTTTCATACAGTTCCTCATGTTGTGACCCTTTCATACAGTTCCTCATGTGACCCTTTCATACAGTTCCTCATGCCGTGACCCTTTCATACATTTCCTCATGCCGTGACC